GATGAGGAAGCAGCCATGCAAATAGCTGGGGAAATGCATGCAGTGCATGCAAAGGCCCTGAGCTAGAAAAAAGAACGGAAAGAAAGCTCATGTCGCTGGAGTGGGAGTGAGAGAGGAAAGCATGACATAAAATGGCATGGAAGTGGGAGGGCTCAGGTTGCTGCAGACCATAACAAGGAGTTTGAACTTGATTCTAAGCACAGTGGCAGTCACTGGAGAGTACTGGGCAGGGCAGTGACATGCTCTGACATGTGCCCACTGTGTGCTGGATGGATTTCAGCAGGAAAGACAATAACGTATGTTACCCACAGCGTCTGGCACATAGTAGGTGCTCAGTGCACAAGATATCCGTCACTGCCCCAATGCCACATCCACGTGGGTTTGCCAACATCCAGTCCAGGTCAAGAATCATCTTCTCATCCTGGGTTCAGCCTCCCTCTAGCTACCCTGTGTACTGGGACAGTCCCAGTAAAGCCAACAAACTAAGCTTTGGGGAACATCCTCCTGTCTCCTTTGGTTATGGTAACAACCCAGGAGAGACTACGGAGAGGCCCGGGGCGAAGGCGGGAGTGGGGCCTTCTGTTAAATGTTGAGTTGCTCCCAACATACTTTTCAGACATTCGTTCGCTTTGCCCAGTCTCCTCCGTAAGAGACATGCTTTCGGATGTGTTTTGAAAAATATTCCATATGCTAATGGAATGTCACCATCTGCCAAAGAAGGCAGAGCTGTTTTTAAAGGAAAAACTATTACAGAAATGAGGTATTCACAGAGGGGCACTAAAGAGCCCAAACGTCGCTGGCCTGAGTCTGACCTGGGCTGCCTCGTGTTACCAACATGAAAAGGGAGTGAGAAAATCTGAGGCCAATTAACTTCTCTCCCTCTCTCTCTCTCTCTCTTTTTCTCCCCCTTGCCCACCTCTCTTTCTCTCGCTCTCTTTCTCTCTCTCTTTTTCCCCCTCCTCTTCTTGGAGACATGATGAAATTTCCTGAAACAAAAACTCGCAGCCCGTTCTATAAAATGCTTTCGCCTTTGGTGGAAAACGCCCCGATGGTCCCTTTTCTCTCTTCATTCCTGAGGCACAGACCTGGCCCCTGTCTGTTTGTGCAGATGGGCTGCAGGGAGTGTTCCCAAGGACAAGCCAGGCAAGGGCCGGAGTGGAGAAGCTATTCCTGGGCGCCTGTTTGTTATTGCTGCCAGAGCCCTGGCCGTTAGGAGAGTGTGGTGCTGTCTTGGAAGAAGTGTGAAGCGGGATTAGGTGTCCTGCGGTGTGATTAGTGGACAGGCATTGTTCCCCAGGAGGCCCAGGCAGCTTGGAGGCAAGTGTTTGCAAAAGAGAGTTTCCAAGTTCTGAGAGCATCCACGGGCCCTGAAAAGACTGCTGGGTAACACGCTCCTGCCTCTCCCACTGCTCCTTCCCACCTTTGTCACTGGCTTGGCCTCCCGTGCCCCTTTCCTAAATGCAGATGTTCCTCTGGGCTCTTTCTTCTGAAACCACCACTTGTCTCCTTCTCTTCTAGGCAGCCCAGGGGCTCCACTCGAACCTCTCTGGGGCCCCTCCAATGTCCACATCCAAACGCATCCCCCTTCCACCTCCTGGATCAACCCCAATTCCCTTATCTGGGAGACTGGACACCCCTCCAGCCCATTGCCCAATCCAGAAATCCCCACCTCAAGGACTTGGTGTGTCCATGCCTGCAGCCTAGAACATCCTGTCCCAGCTCAGTGCATGACCAGCGCCTGCTTATTGAGATCTTGGATCCAGTGTCCCCCAGGCCACACCTGAACGCTGCCCAGTGTATCCTCTTCACGGCAGTCAACACAATCTGAATTTATCTTGTAAATGTATGTTTGTGGACACTACAGCAATCACTGCACACTGTTCCTTTCTTCCAGAATGGAAGCTTCCTGAGAGCAGGGACTTTGTGTCTTCTTCCATTATAGCCCCATCTAGTGGCACCTGGGAGACACGCATTGAATATGAATGCTGTTGCCAGCGCCTCCAGCTCCCTCCACACCAAACCCCGTGGCTCCCAACACCCTCTCTCACCTCCTCAGTGTTCCCTATTCTGGACCTTAACATCTCTCTCCTGAATCTTAACTCTAGCTTTCTAACTGGTCACTCCTGAGCTTAAAACCAGCCAGTGGCTGCCCCTGCCCCCAGGATAGAGCCCCCACTCCCCAGCATGGCCCACAGGGATGGCCACAGTCGGGCCCCTGCACCTGTCCGGTCCCTTGCACTCCATCACACTTGGTGCATTGTTGAAGACACACCAAGAACATATGCCAGGGACATATCAGTGGAGGGGAGAAGAGAAGGGCAGAGGGTCTGTGGGTGCCAAGGGACCACACAGTCTGAGCCTGGCTCTTCAGGGAAACTGCGGGCATCCAGGGGCCCACGGAGCATAGAAAGGGAGATGGTAGGGCAGCGTGCCAAGAGGCCAGCTGTGGCCCCCAAGACAGACCAGAATCAACGCTAAGCCCAGCTGCTCACAAAGACAGATCTGAGCCTCAATATCTTCAACCGTAAAACGGTAAGAACATAAACCATGTAGGGCTACTGGGAGGATGAGAGTACACAAAGTCCTCACCAGCAGCCTGGCACCCACGAATCTTTATTTTTTATTCACTCACTTATCTTCATTCTTGCTGTAGTTGGCATGACCCAACCTTTTCTCCCGCCATCACCCACCACCTATACACACCCTGAAGGCATGAAATTCTCCCATCCCCTCTGGAGACAATACAATTCACTGAGGATAGTGACATGTTTAGACCCCATTCTCTTCCCAGAAATACTAGCTGGGGATATGATAGGTTGACTACCTTTAAAATTATTTGTAATTAAAAAACTAACAAATATAACTCAGTATAAACCTATTCACTGGTCCATCTCCCGCTCTTCCACCCACTGAACAACCCAGGCACTGGTTACAAACTCAAGTCCTCACTGAAACCAGTCCTCACAGGAGATGGTCAGCTCTTATATTTCCCCTCAAGAGGCCCAGACTGGCTTCAGGTTTGCCTGAGCACATTTATTTGACAGCACAACACCCAAATTCCACTAGCTCCGGTCCCTTTCTCCCCTCTGTGCATTCTGTTCCCTTTGTTTAAATGTCTAAGTTGAAGCTACAGGGCACTGTGCTAGGCACTTTAGAGATGTCATTTAATCCCCACAGTAATCTTAAAACACTGCCTCTACTTGCCAGCCGAGGAGTTCGGGTTCAGGATAATACATGCCCTTGCCCATGAGGCCTGCTGCCAATTAGGTGGCAGGGCTCCAATCCTGAGCTAGGTCTCTGGGCCCCAAAGCCCAGGCTCTTTCCTCTCTGCCATTCGGTGGACAAGTGGCCCCCATAGGATGGTCTCGATGGTGTTGTAAGAATATCCCTCCCACTGGGCGTGATGGCTCAAGCCTGTAATCTCAGCAACTTGGGAGGCTGAGGCAGGAGGATCCCTTGAGTCCTAGAGTTCGAGGCTGCAGTAAGCTATGATTGCACCACTGCACTCCAACCTGGGCAACAGAGCTAGATGCTTAAAAAAACAGTCCTTCCCAATACCCTGTATTGGTAGGATTTGGAAGTACAAACACAGCCTGCAAGAAATGGCAAAGTCCACTGGATCTGAAGGTGGTGGTGAAGGGTAGAGAGAGCTTAAGTTGTACACACTGAGATCTCACCAGAACATCAGGTTTAAGCTGTTCCTAAATCTGACCCCACTCAAGTCCTTGGTCTTGTAATTTCCAGGTTCTCCCAGGCCAGCCCAGTAATAACTCACATACTCTGAGCAATGAAATCAAACAATTCCTAGAGAAAGGATGAGCAGATGAACACGAAGTTGAAAATAATGAACAATACAATCTCATTTATAGGATTCTACTTTCCAGTTTACCTGGCATACACTATGAAAAAGTTACTTATGACCTGCCCTACGAATCTTTCACATGGCTACACCTAACCAACATAATTTTTAAACTACTGAATTAGTGCATTTGGTGTATGGGGTCCGTCGTCCCAACTGTGGGCTGGTAAACACCTTGAGATGGCCATACACTCAGTCATCCCACAGAGGCTGAGTGTCTACAAGTTGTTGGATTCAGCTCTGTGCAACGAGCCAGCAGGAGCCCCGATATCTTAGCACCTACAAGACAAGCTCCCAGGGTCTTCCCCAGCTGGAAAAGCACGCTGTGTATAGAAAAGAGGGTATCTATTGAAGGACATGAAAGAAACTGGTTAACCATCATTTGAGGGACTGGGGGTTAAGGGGGAGAGGAAAAATTACTTTTTACTCTTTCTGTGATACGTAAATTGGGTTCTCTTAACCACATGCGTATGACACATTTGAAAAACATTTTCTACAAGAAAAGTGGGTGCGAACAATTACATAGGAATACTCTAATCTCATGCAAAAAGTCCGTATTACCAGTTGGGTTGACTAACGGGGAAAGTTTAGCCTAGCTATCTAACAAACTCAGCTTCCACTCAGTTCTACTGAGTAGCAGAACTTCTGAGTAGAATCCTACAGATACTAACTGGATTTTTTTCTGCTTCAGTACTCTACCAGTGACACACTTGCACACACAAAACTATTCGTTTCTGATGCTATGGTGGAGAGGGCTGCGAAACTGCTCCTCTCACACCTCTACAGCCCTTCTTCAAGAAGGGGAGGATCCACTCACACCTGAAAGCCACTTGGGACGTCTCAGAGACCATTTTCATGTTGACAGTAACTTGTGAAGCAATTAATTATGTGTGGGAAGCAGATTTTCAGGGGAAGACTTCTTAGCTAGACCTCAGCTAACTCCTGAGATTCAAGCTAGCTTTCGGTAAAAGCCCAAGACAAGGAATTATATCTTCCACAACATTCTCACAGGCCAAAACCGGTTTGCCTTCAACCTCATTTTACAGAGCAGATGATTCTAAAAATCTATAAAATTTAACTGTATGTCACTGAATTCCTAACAGCACTTAACAGTTTCTTTGAAAAATTTCTTAACAGAACATCAGAGTATTGCAACACTTTATTAAGAGTATTGGCTTTGAATCAGTAGCTGAAGTAACAATTGCATGAAGCCAGATTAGGTGCACTGCATAATACCCATACTTGATTTATTGACATTACTTAGCAATTTATTGGACAAAAGTCAAACTTTTTTGTTTTTTATTAAGCACATTCCACAGTACAAAGCTGTCATGAATAATATCTGTACAATTTAACAGTTTCAATAGCTGTTCAGACACAAATTTATTTCAAACAGATAATTGGCAAACATAATTAATTACAAGTTAGAATTAGACTATCCCAGTGCTTTAAAACATTAATATAGCAGTAATTTACATTTGCTCAATTATGGTTAGCAAAATAAAGTCCAGAGGATGGCTGGGAATTACTATAATCCCAGAAAGTCAGAATTCCTTGGGTGCCAAAGTCCCCTGCTATAATTTAGTAGGCACAATTCAAAGGTTGTGTGCATATTCAAAGGCCATGATCTCCCAAGGAACAAAGGAAACTTCTATATTAAACATGCAAAAGCAACAAAAAATCCATTCATTCATTCAGAATTGCCTCCTCCCCTGCCCCTCCCTTCCCCCTGGGCTTTCCTAACCAGTTTGATATTGAAGCTGGAAGATGAAAAGTGGTCAAAGCTAAATCACTTTCACCACCACCATCAAGCTTACAATATCCACCTTAAGAAGGGGGTTTATTGTTTACACTTTGAGACTCAACCTCTCAAAAACATAAATTAATTTAGTAACATGGGAAGGATTTTTTTTTTTTTTTAAAGAAATACTAAAAAAGCAAAGCCAACTTGATAAACAAATCACATACACACACATTGATCCCCACACCGTTCTCAATGCAAAGGACAAATCAGAGCCCAGGGGCCTTCCCTTTAGTAGTAGAGTGTGCTTCCACGGGAAGAGGTTTCATTTATAGGAGGCTGTTTATTGGTCCTTTAAAATGTTATTGACATTCCTTGATCTTTGGAAACAATGGCAAAGGGCAAATCAAACCTAATGTTGAATAAGGGAGGGAGAAGGAGTGCCAATTGGATGCCAACGTCCTTTCCATGCACTGTCAGGGCAACAGTGCCATTTACACATTTGTGCTGTGTAGTCGGGAGTACTCGGAGCCTTCAGAACCTGCTGGGGCCACAGCAGCAGGTGACACCAGAGATGTCTGGGGTGGGATTCATGGGCTTGAGGTTTTACTCCACTTAGGAATGCCCACCCCTCAGCATAGGCCTCTGAACCCACCTGACCTGCCCAGCAGGCTCCAACACACCAGCGGGCCCTGCCAGAACCTTGGCAAGGCCAGGATGCATGAATTCCAGAGCCAAGACAGCCTGTCAACAGGGCCTTCTTATTTCCCCTTCCCAGGGCCACGACTGCACAGAATAATGATTTTTGACAGTGAAGCCAAATGAATACTATGGGAGGTGACCACTAGTACTCAGGAGTACTTATGAGAAAAAGAATAAGAACAAAAAATGTTTAAGGTACCTCTCTATTGTATAATACATACTCCACAACAAATAAAACATTTTGTGTTAAACTTTAGAAATTACATTTTAAAACAAGATTCTCATTAAAAACACACACAAACCACACACACGCAATGACAACAACAAAATAAAAACACTGTATGAATACTGCAGGAAGGGTTCTAGGTAATCCACATCAACCCTGGTATCAGGTTCTTGAGCCCAGCCCATGGCTAAGTGCGAACACACTCTGTATTAGTGTCTCAAGCACAGGGGGCCCTGACTCCAGCAACTTTGAGGTTAAACTGTTATGTACATTATATCTACATGCGAATACAGTATTTTAAATTAGGAGGCAAGCACACGTATAAAGGTGTTACTCTACCAAATATCAGGAGATGGTTGGGGGACAGAGAACAGCTAATAAAAGAAAAGAGCTATATTACCTGTTGGGAGATAATATAACTGACTTATAGTTCTTTAAATTAAAAGAAATTGGTACAGAAAGGAAGTATAATCCCAAAAATATTACTAAAACAATCCAGAGAAATTTTTCCATTGTCCAACATGTTCCTAATACAACAAGTCAGAATTCATAATGACTTGGACGGTCAAAAGGAGAATGCTAACTTTTCAGAATGAAAGCCCTGGACATTCTGGGTAGGTGTTTGGCACCCAAAATTTCACTGAAGAAGAATGCTGTTTCTTAATATCAAACCAAAGTGCAAAGCAATATAAATTAGAGGCCAAGTCTTCTCTTGACGGTCGATTTACTTCTGTAAAACAGATTCTATGTTCCTTTTCTATGAACAATTTACATTTGAAACATTAGATATTTTCACTGATGAGGGAAGGAAACAGGCTTCTGTTCTACTTGAAGTCAGGGAAGCTAAGGTATCCTTCTCAAAGGAGAGCCAGAATCAGAGGTGAGAAATGTCGGTACTTGAAGAGTTAGGCTGCTTTGCATCTACCCAGCGTCTAGAACCAATTCCAGCTTCATAACTCAGCTGTGAACGAACTCCCTTAGGCATTGGTAGCCATGTAGCCAGTAGTTCAAGACTAGAAAACCCTGAGGAAAGAAATACAAAAACAAAGGGAGTGTTTAGATGAGGATATACACACTACACCCCATCCCCATGCACACAGCTACATGCATAACTTATTAGCATTCACAATAGAAGCTGTAAGTTGTTTTGAGTGTACTACATACCAGGTATCACATTTATTTAAACCTCACAACAATCCCATGAGGAAGAAACTATTATAAACACCCGCTTCACAAATAAGAGAACTAAGGCTCAGAAAGGCTAAGTGTTTAGTTCAAAGAGTCAACAAGTGACAGAGAAGGGATTCAAGGAGTGAGCTGACCCTATAACTTAAGTACTGAGAGTACTGCTCTGAAAAAGTACACATAGAACAAAAGATGCTTCACATTCGATTTTATATTTAGCATAATCTTTATGACATTCAGAACCTACAAGGGACCCATCTCATATTCTCACGAGAGCCCTCATCGATCACTAGGAAACAAAAATATGCAAAAATTAGCCTTTCTAAAATATTGCTAGTAATCCGAAATGACTTCCTTTTTAATAAGTAAATCATTTGTAAAACAACAGTGTAGGGGGAAAGGTCACTGAATGTTCCATAATTTTTTGACTATGGCTTTGAGTCAGAAACACATTTCAATCACAATTTCTACATTCATCATGTATGTAAATATGTACACATACGTAAAACAATATTCATGAGAATATTCATATTCACAATATCATTTTTATGTATAATGCAGGCTGACATTTTCTATTCTAAATAAAAGCAAAGTAAAAACTCACTCAGATTATGTCACAATCAATGATGCACTAAACCACTGGCCTAGAAAGTCTAAAGTCACCTTAGGTGGGGGAAAAAAAAAGGTGAGAGAGACTTTTTAAAGCTTGAATGCTTTTTTTAAAAGGTGATTTTCCCAAAAGGTTGTCAATTTTCATAAAGATCAAGAATCTTAAGTCTTCTCAATGAATTCAAGATTCAATTTCATTTGCTACTTTTTTCCCATTAAGGATATTTAAGGGAACCTGAATTATTTCAAAAACATTAATGCCCTGGGACCAGAAGTGAGCACTCTCAAATGCTGCTGAGGGGAGCATAAACTGACTGAATCTTTTGGAAGGCAAAATGACCTACATATGCACATGTACCCTAGAACTTAAAGTATAATTAAAAAAAAAAAAAGTCTTCAAACATGATACCTTTTAACCCAGACTCTCCACACATTTCCAGAATCCCATCCAAAGCTGACAAAGGGTTGGACAAAGATTAGGTTAAAAGAATAATCATAGCATTGTTTTTATAATCACTAAAAACTGGGGGTTGGGGAGGATAAATATGTAACGAGAGAGCATATCCAAACAATCTAATATAATTTGGCAATTGGAATAATTTGGACAAATACTGACATTACTAACACAAGCATTTCACAATAAAGAAGAAAAACATGTTTAAAAATGTCCAGTTAGTTATCAAGCATCACTTTAAAAAGCCTGAAAGGATCTATAAAAAGGAGTTAGTGGTAAACCATGAGCAGGAGTTTACTTTCTTCTTTTGGCGTATCTACTTTTTCAAATTTCCTAATAATGATCTTATATTGTCTTGTAATAAGAAAAAAAAAATAAATTTTGAGCTACTGAATATATAATACAACATACAGCTCTTACATGTTACTTTTTTAACAATGACTCTGTAAATAAATCTATTACTGCATTTGCTGACATGGAGAGACTCTCACCTGATATTTTACGGGTGAATATTTTACTGCAAGGTTAAATCACCATTAGGGTAGTGTTTCTTATTACACATAACACATGGTTATAATTTTTTTCATGTTATAATAAATGAAAAGAATTTGGGGCTGGGCGCGGTGGCTCACTCCTGTATTCCCAGCATTTCAGGAGTTCGAGGCAGGCAGATCACTTGAGGCGAGGAGTTCGAGACCAGCCTGGCCAACATGGTGAAACCTCGTCTCCAATAAAAATACAAAAATTAGCTGAGTGTGATGACACATGCCTGTAGCCCCAGCTACTCACAAGGCTGAAGCAAGAGGATCACCTGAGCCTGGGAGGCAGAGGTTGCAGTGAGCCAAAATTGCACCATTGCACTCCAGCCTGGGTGACAGAGCAAGACATTGTCTCAAAAGGAAAAAAAAAAAAAGAATTTAGAAAAGAGCAGTAAAATCTATAAAGTTGACTGCCAAGGTTGTTAAAAGTAATAAAATTGGAGAGACAAGCACATTTGGGGTCTCACTGCTTGTGCTGGGATACAGGGAACCACCAGCTTAAGCAGATAAGATTTTTCCATTGACTTATAATTGATCACAACTAGGCAGCTATTCTGAGGTTTCCATAAAAGGTGGGTAGGAGGAGGGCCTGGAGGAAGTAACACAAGTTTCCTTTCTACCACAGCCAGTAAGAAACAGCATTGGTGATCACTGCTTCATCTCTCAACCAAAGGAATCTTGCTCAGGGCACTTGCAGGTAACATATAGATGTTGTCAGTTCATCTACTGTAATACACCAGAAAAAGAAAACCGTGATACGGATGTCTTGAATTTTGCCATATGCCTCCTTAAGCCGTTTTTACTTGGGTCCATTCCTCCTTCCCTACATTTTCTTAGGCTTATTGGGAGGGGAGGTCGGGGGGAGGAGCAATCACTCAAGAGATCCTTGCCTCCTTCCTCTGGAATTCCTATTTTAAGGCTCCATTCAATAATTATAATAATTCTGCCATGTGGATTTTTCAACTGACTTATGAAGAATCTATCCAGAAAGAAAGCAGCAGGGCAGAAGATTATGATCAGGAACAGTCTGAACACACCCGAGACCCGTAACAGCAAATAGGTAAGTGGCTTACAGGTCACTCCTGCAAGGCAGACATAACCAACCACAACCAGTCCTTTGGGGTTCATGGGGTCCCAGAATCCTTCCAAAGGCAACACTCCCACCAGCCACTACTGACCAAACTCAGTGGGCATGAAGAAAACACAAATTATTTGCCATTCCTGATGTAGACCCTTGGTTTACTGCTAATAGATGGAGCAGGGCAAGACCAGAAGTCAGCAAAAAAAAAAAAAAAAAAAAAAGGTCCTTTTTCTGAAAGGGCCATATGGTAAATATTTCAGACGTTGTAGGCCATAAGGTCTCTGTTGCAACTACTAAGCTCTGCCACTGAAGCACAAAAACAGCCACAGACAACACATAAAGGAATGAGCATGGCTGTGTATCAAAAATCTTTATTTATAAACAATGGAATTTAAATTTCATCTAATTATTGCATGTCATGAAAAAAATATTCTTCTTTTAATTTTTTTAAGCATTTAAAAATGTAAAAACTATTCTTAGCCTGTGGAGACAGGAAAAAAAAAAAAGGATAAGCAGAGACTAATTAAAAACAAAACAAAACAAAACAAACAAAAAACAGGTAGTGAGTCGATTTTGGTCCCTGGCTATATATATAGTTTCTTGACCTCTAGGTAAGACCAACTTCCTGGTGGAGTTCTATTTATTGGATCTTGGAATCCTGATGAAAGAGTATCTGAAAAGATGGTAACTTAGTGAATAGTACCAAGAGTTCTCAATCTCTCCATCAAAAAAAATTCCTAATTCTGCACATGGACTTCCTTATACTTTTGAAATTCAATGAACAGGAAAATATGTAATGATAAAAAGCCACTAAGAATTAAGTAATGATTTTAAATAAACACAAATTTCATTAAAATCACAACAGTCTTTATAGACATATATCCATAGTAGTATGATTATGTGTAAACATTTATTCAATCTACAAAGTTTAATGTGTGTAGAATTCACTGGCCCTCAGCAGAACACACAGAGTTGTCAATACTGTTCCTAAGTCATCAGTTCCTAGGACACAGCCAAGTAAGACTTCTCATCTTCCAGATTGAACACTCTTAGTAATAATCAAAGCATTCTGTCATCAATGGTTACAATGACTTTCAATGTTCCTGTAGCCAGAGTGAAGGACTCTGCTTCTCAGCATATCTGCTGTGTTTCGTGGAAGCAGAATAGGTTTTAGGGGTCTCTCAACAGATGCTCTTCTCTGATCCACCCTTGAGGGAATGACGGTAGTGGGTGGATTGTGGTAGTGGGGAAGAGGCGGATTTTGAATGTTTTGTCAGATGATGATTTTTTTTTTTAATAAAAGAACTGAAGGACAGGAAAGAAAGAGAAAAAGAAGTTTCTTGTACCCCAAAATAAAATTCAAGGGATTTTACTGGTGTTAAATTGATTATGACCTTAAAAATCATTTAGGAACACAGTTTTTAAAAACAGGAACCATGTTTATCATCTGCCAATAATGAAAACCCACACAATAGGCAGGATTCCAACTGAAACCTTGTATGGATGTGACTATAGAGATCTAGCCTGATACTTGAACTCTGCAAAAGCTGACACATCTAAGAGACCTTAGTTCCCATCACCAAGGAACCCAAATCACAAAATTCCCCCAAAGGGAAGGTGAATTCAATCAGCAAAATTGGAAGGGGAAGGGACAGTACTCACCTGAAACGGGTGAAAGTGCAGACTGTTATCTAGAGATGTAAGTGTATGTTCTGGAGGGAGAACGGGTCTCATTCTGGGCACTGGGAGGCACATTTAAGAAATCCCAAATCAAAATAGTGTCATCATGGGAGCTGCTGATGATCTGAAACTCATCAAACTGTAGCCGAAACACACGTCCAGAATGTTCCTATGAAATATTAAAAACTTCATGAATAAAATGACATCTTTACAGTCCCTGATATCTCACAATGAGAAATTTGGCAGATGAAAATGAAGCCACTTAAACAGACTTCTTACACGACTGTACAGAGCTCACTGAACTGTGTCCTTCATCCCAAGAACAAATGCTTTTCTTTCTTTTCCTGCTAGGCCTTTTTTGTTTTTTTTGAGTCAGAGTCTCGCTCAGTCACCCCGGCTGGAGTGCAGTGGCGTGATCTCCGCTCACTGCAAGCTCCGCCTCCGGGGTTCACGTCATTCTCCTGCCTTGGCCTCCCGAGTAGTTGGGACTACAGGCGCCCGCCACCACACCTGGCTAATTTTTTGTATTTTTAGTAGAGATGGGGTTTCACTGTGTTAGCCAGGATGGTCTTGATCTCCTGACCTTGAGATCCACCCGCCTCGGCCTCCCAAAGTGCTGGGATTACAGGCATGAGTCACTGCGCCCGGCACCCCCTGCTAGGCCTTTTCTTTCATTCAACTCTGTATCTTAGACTCTACCAATATTTCAAAGATCATCTCACAAAGGGCCTTAGAAAAGTAAACAACAATACATAATACCCATTCTTGATGCACTCTAAAAATCCACTGGAAAAACCTAGAATCAGAAGGACAGTTTGTTTAACATGACCAGGGTCTACCTCAAACTGCTGCCAGCATCAAAATTCATGGTGAAACATTATAAGGGTTCCCATTAAAATCAAGAAGAAAGAGAGTTCTGCATCTTCTAGTAAATGCAAGAAGTGAAGAAATAGAAATAAAAGATAAAGCTACTAAAAATTTTTTTAAATCTACCGATATTCCCAAATGACTATCTCTTCAAAAATACAACAGTACTTACATATAGCATAAAAATTTATATATAGTATAAAAATGTGCTGTTATTAAAACATAACATAACCACAAGTAGCCATATTAAGAAATCTTCAAACCTGCAAGAAGGAAATATTGCTTGCCCTATGAGGAAACCAGTCCACCTACAAATCAGGATGCCTGCCTTCATATCTGAAGTTGCATTATGTCTCCCCTTAGAAAAGTGCTCACAGTAATGTAAGCATCAAATATTCTCTGATTTTGGCTAAACAAAATGAACAGTGAAATTCTCTGAAGGCATCTTGTGAGATACACAAGCGCTCCTGTGATACACCTAGACAGGGCTATCTGCAAATGGTCATCCTCCAGCACAGGGAACCAATTCCTGTCTTAAGAGGTCACGTACCACCAATGTGCGCAAACACAATGTGCTCGCTGGGGCTCGAGGGTCAAGAGCAGCTTGCAAGTCCCAAACTTTAATTTTCCTAGAAAGGGAAATGAGATGTGATTAGTGGAAAAATGAACAATTTATATGCTGTCAAACATTTCCTTGACAAAAAGTAGTGCATCTGAACTGCCTATTTATAAAAGCTAATGGGGAACATACTTATGTTTTTACAAATCATCTGAACCAATTACACTTGACTTCAGAAAAATTAAGAACCAACACATTCTCAGAATTGCTGAAATTTTAAAGAAATATTATTTTAAGGGAGATAAGAAAACAACTTCAGGTTATCTAAATTCAGTTCCGGACCTGATAACCTGTGTCACCAAGTTCATTCATCAGGGGACTCTCTAGGGCTGAGGAGGTGCTGCTGACAGAAGCTAGGGCTCTGTGTGAAATTCCAAGGATACCTTTCTCCAAATTAAGCAAATGCTGGAAGTTAGTAATAGGAGTACAGACAGACCAACCAACCCATTTGGGAAGTATATATAAGGTCATCTGGAAAGATTTACAGTTGCCATTTGCCCATTTAAAATATAGTGAGGTGTTTTAAAGAGGGTTTGTTCAATTTACCAAAAGGGGAAAAGAAGAAACTTATTATTGAACACATGAACACACACACACACAGAGAAAAAGAACACACACACACACACACACAGAGACAGAGAGACAGAGAGCGAGCGCCTGGCTTAATTTAGGGGTAAAGCAAAGAAGTGAGTACACTCACAACCTCAGCTATTGCTGGAGTTTACAACAATGACTCAAAGCATAAGTTTAGGAACCACAGTGACTCTGCCTCTGTCATTTGGGGCAAGATTTAGTTCTTTCTGGGCCTGAGTGTCCTCACCTAAACAACTGGTATAATAATACCTGCCATCCACCACTACACAGAAACCTACCATAGGACCTGGTACATACAGAGTTGCTTAATATACAACATTTCTTTTTCTTGTTGATATAGTTATAGCAGTACATCTGAAAATCTGAAAGACATACCCATCATAGGCCCCACTGACAATCCTCTTGTTATCAAACCGGATGCATCGGACCAATTCTTCATGTCCCTCTAGGACTCTTAAACAGGCACCACATTCAATATCCCAGAGCCTTGAATGAAAAACAGACCTCTGTGAAACAATTTCCCACACATGATTCACACTATCTGTAAGTTTTTTATATCTGTTCCATACAGATATAATTTTTCACTATCTTGGAACTCTTTATTTCTATCTCACTTCCAGTACACACCACACATATAAAGCTATATGTATACATTTATACCATCTGTGTGTTTCCAAGCACTAACCTAGGAGGAAGCCTTACTTTTTATTCTATTTCCTTTTATATGATTTGAAACTGTTTTTAATCATGTGTCTGTATTACTATTTAAATAAAATCAACAAACAAGAAACGTCAATTCTATTTAGTTCTTAGGCATTCTCTTGATGTCTGAGCTGATAAAAACCATGTAGACAAATGGTGTAGGAAAGACTTTTCTGGGGAGACAGGGATTGTAGGCAGTAAAGGAGAAAAAGCACAGATGAGACAAGGTGGGAAGGGAGATATCACATACAGCCATCGGGTAAAGCTTCCGCCCAAGGTAATTCTAGCACAGTGGAGTCCATGAGGACCACTGAGGTTAGAACTGGTGGACCAGCAGCTCTCTCTTGATGAGGCCTGTGGATACCCCTTCCTTGATACTATATGCTGAATACTGGAATTGATGTACAAGGTCAGAGTGGGAGACTGATTAGGTACATGCAGTGTTCTGGCGGAAATATAAACCCATTGACTACACCAAATCTTTTTCTCTGCATATAACTCCATTCTGGAGTTAGAGATCTTTTTTCCTATTATGACTGATTTTCTACCGTATTTGCAGAAAAAAAAATCATAGCTAGTTAGCATGTACAAAATAAAGTGAGCAAATTAATTCTATCATAACTTTTTCTTAGCCTCTCTACCAGTAATTCCTATGATACATCCAAAGATCATTTTATTACAGCTGCCCTTAGCAAATCTTAGTACCCGTGATGACAGCATCTCTAATCTGTGATCAAAGTCATTCAGTACTGCCTCTATGACTCCAAAGTGGTTCTCTTCTATAAGTTGCAGAGTAATACACATTACTATCTTGTAAAACCTCAACAATTCCAGTGAGGAGGTTAAGAACTGTTTACTGATGAAACATTAAGCAATACCACAAAGCGTGACGAATATAAGAGAATCAAGATTTAAGCTCTAAACTAACTTTATGGTATCTTAAAGCCTAAAATGATAAAGCAAACTTAAAGAGCCGTTATAGCTTTTTTGTTATTTGCTTGCCTTTAAAAAAAAACTTTGTAATAATCTTAAACCCAATCTTTATTTTGAACGAACATTAGGCAATTTGGTTATAAACACCAAAGTTTAGTAAAGCTTATGTAAAGCTACTAGTATGTGTATTTTTTTTTAATAATCTTGAACCCTATCTTTATTTTGACCAAACATTAGTCAATTTGATTATAAACCAAAGTTAAGTTTAGTCACTTATGTAAAGCCACTAGAGTGTGTTAAGACAGTGGGGAAATGGCACGGGATAATTAAGTAGATATTGAAGGCATGTTCTTAACAAGATACAAAATGTCTAAGGTTAGTTAGATTTATTAGAAAGCAAGGAGGCTGAGGGCTGGGAAGGAAAAATGGAGGTAAACGATCCCGGCAGGAATGGATGATTCCATAATGCAGTCTTGGGAGAGAAAAATAAAGTACACTCCCATGTATTAGGTAGGGAGCTGGGAGCTTACAGGTGAGGGAAGTCAGAGCGAGTTGGGCTGCAGCACCCTAGTCTGTTCTGAAGTGCTCTGATATTAAGTGATCCTGGGTGGAGTTGAGGTTAAAAAACTTTATGTACTGGGGGAACACTGGAAGACCACCCAGGGCATACACGGTTTTCCCACTTGAGTATACAGAGCCAAATACATTTCTAAAAGTTACCTAAAGCTTTCTTATCTGAAACATCCCATTTACTCTGAGTTGTTTTGAGCATTAGAACTAGGAGATGAGTCAACAACGTGGCAAGAATCAGCCTGCTCTGTCAGCACACCAACTTCTACCCACCTAATGGTATTATCTGATGATCCACTAACAACCAGCCGATCCCTGTACTGGAGACAGGCAATGCCTCGCTTGTGCCCATTGAGAGTACGGACAAATTCACAGGTGCTCGTGCTCCAGACCTGTATAACAAATTAACAATATTTTAAAGAATGAATGTGGAAAAGTCCTCCCACAATATACCTTTCTTAAAAAGACAGCTTCTGAGAATGACCCAAATATGTGATTATAAAATACAGTGTCCTCTAACTCAAAGTTGGGAGGCTAGAGGGCAGACTAGACAGCATAACATTTTCTTTGGCTGCTGAGTAATAACACTGGAATGAAACACGGAGGGAAGTGAAGTCTCCAGTCGTTGAGATCTTTACAAAGAGAACATCTCCTAGATGGTTTGGATATTCATTTACCTGGAGGAAAGAGTTTGGGCCAGATTTTATGTTTTTACACCAGCTGACATGTCAAACCCAATGAAGCTAATGTAATAAAAAAGCTTCCAGCTGGGTACAGTGGCTCACACCTAATCCTAGCATTTCGGGAGGCTGAGGCGGGAGAATTGCTTGAGCTCAGGAGTTTGAGACCAGCCTGGGCAACGTAGTAAAACCTCATCACTACAAAAAATAAAACTAGCTGGGCGTGGTAGTGTACATCTGTGGTCCCAGCTATTTAGGGGGCTGAGGTGCAAAGATCACTTGAGCCCAGCAGGTTGAGGCTGCAGTGAGCCGTGTTTGTGCCACTGTACTCCAGCTTGGGTGACAAAGCGAGACTTTGTCTCAAAAAACAAACAAAAAGTTTCATCTTTCATATAATCCTCTTTTCCAGCATATTTTCTTGAACAGCTCCATTTGTTTTGACACATTACTTCTAATTGTATGTATGTAGAATAAATAATCCCCTCTTTTGTGATATCATCTGAAAGACTTAGATGTTCATAGACATCTCAATGTATTATTAGACAAATAAGGAGACACACAGCAACCAGAGTGCCCTGAATTATCTTAACAGCTGCATTTGCAGCTGAATGGGATAGATAAATATATCTCCACATGTAAAAGAATGGCAAACATCTACCTCATACCTTAAACAAAAATCTAACTCAAAATGGATCAAGGACCTACACGTAAGCACGTCTTGATAAATTGAACATCATCAAAATTAAAATCATTTGGGCATCAAAGGATACCATCAAAAAAGTGAAAAGGCAACCTACAGAAAGGGAGAAAATATTTTCAAATCATGTATCTCATAAGGGGCTTGTGTCCAGAATATATAAAGAACTTATAACTCAACAATAAAAAGACAAATTATCAATTTTTAAAGTGGGCAAAGGATTTATAGACATTTCTCCAGAGAAAGTACACAAATGGTCAATAAGCATACAACAAGTTGTTCAGCATCATCAGTAATAAGGGAATGCAAAGCAAAACCAGAGATACCACTGCACACTCACTAGGGCAGATAAAAGAAAAGAGACAAATAACAGCAAGTGTTGGCGAGGATATGGAGAAATCCTCCATGCTGGTATTATGAAACAGCTGTTTTGTAATAAAGCTCAGACCCTCTCAACTTTCAGGCACTGGTCTCATACCAATTGGTGTGACTGTGGGAGTAAGTTGCCACATATAAATCCTAGTTGTTTAGCTTCCCAACTATCCAGTCTAAAGCCTGATGCTACACACTTTGTGATTTGTGGGGCTAGGTGTAAGAATGCTTTCCAGTGCTGGTCATGAAAAGGATGTTCTTTGCGCAAGCTGAAACCCCCACATACCACTGGCAGGACTGTAAAACGGTGCAGTGCCTTTGGAAAACACTTTGGCAGTTCCACAAGCCTGGGCAACAAAGTGAGACCTGGTCTCTACAAAAAAAAAATGGGCAGGGGGGCGGACCTGGTAGTGCCTGTACTCCCAGCTACGCCGGGAGGCTTAGGTGGGAGCCTCAGGGGTCCCTGAGCTGAGGGACGGCTTGAGCCCAGGAGGTCAAGGCTGAAGTGAACCATGACTGTGTCACTGCACTCCAGCCTGGGTGACAGAGTGAGATCTGTCTTCAAAAAAAAAAAAAAAGTTAAACAGAGGGTTACCATCCTAAGAAAATTAAAAACATGAAAACTTCTACACTAATATTTATAGCAGCATCATCTGTAATAGCCGAAAAAATAGAAACAACTAAAATGTCTATCAACTAATAAACAGAAGAACAATGAAATGTTATTCAGCCACTGGAAACAACAAAGTACTGGCTGGGTGTGGTGGCTCATGCTTCTACTCCCAACACTTTGGAAGGCCGAGGAATGCTTGAGCCCAGGAGTTCAAGACTAGTCTGGGCAATATAGCAAGACCCCATCTGTACTTAAAACAACAACAACAACAACAACAACAACAACAAAAATGGGACAAAGCTGATAGATGCTACAAAGCACATGGATGAACCTTGAAAACATTACACTAAGCACAGAGGAGAATAAAGATCTTACCAGGTACCAGGTTGGTATAAGCCACCTCTGCTTTCTCTCTGTTCTAAAAGGGACAGGAGGAGGCTGGGTTATGACTGCAGACATACTTACTTTGATGGTCCTGTCACCAGAGGCGGACACAATGTACTTGTCGTCAAAGTCTACTACATTGACAGCAGCCCGGTGGCCAACCAGGACACGGCGTAAAGTGATATCGGTCGCAGAAGCCATGTCCCACACAGCAATGGAGCGGTCCTTGGAACAGGTCACCATCAGTCCATTGCTGAAGCGTAAGTGCAGTACGGCCTCATTGTGGTGGATCAATGTGTTAAGAACTTCACCCGTGTTCACATCCCACACCCTAGGAGAGAAGAGAAAAAGCATGATGCTTAATTACGGAGACAGCCAGGAAATGATTCTGGCATCTGAGTTCTGTCTGGGTCTGCAATGGCTTGGATATGGTTTGTCTGACTCTACCAAATCTCATGTTGAAACTGATCCTCAGGGTTGGAAGTGGGGACTGACAGGAGGTGTCTGGGTCATGGCGGTGGATCCCTCACGAATGACTTGGTGCCATTCTCATAGGAGGGAGTTCACTCTTAGTTCTGAGAGAACTGGCTGTTGACAAGAGCCCAGCAGCTCCGCCCTCTCTCTTGCTTCTCTCTCACATGTAATCTGCATACACTGGCTCGCCTTTGCCTTCTGCCATGAGGAGAAGTAGCTCGAAGCCTTCATCAGAAGCAGATGCTGGTACCATGCTTCTTGCAGAGCCTGCAGAACCATGAGTCAAATAAACCCCTTTTCTTTTATAAATTACCCAGCCTCGGGTATTCATTTATAGCAACACAAATAGACTAAGACAGAGTCCATTCTTAATGAACCTAAGGGCATGATTAAAAGGTGCCCCTAAAAAGCAATTTCTTTATTTGTTGAGAAGTGCTGAGATGGTTTCAGAAAAGGTGGCTAATTCTGGCTCTGCTCGAGTTTAGGTATATTTAGCAGTCAGGTATTCAGGGACGGTGTCTGCAGGCTCATGCTGATGGCAAAAGACAATTCCTCAAGAAAGCAGATTTTGTATTGAGTCTGAGATAAAAGGAAGAAGGAGCCTTGTTGGCTGAAGAACTGAGAATGGTTCCAAGCTTACAGTTCTTGTTGACCTCTGGCAGACCTCTGAGTCTATTATTTATCCACTGCAAACTGGGTAAGTCATGATGCCTCATCAATCACCACATCCACTTCTTTACTCAGCTGCTTTATGGACAAAGCCAGGGTCTCCCAACTGCTTTGTATGTCCAGGGATTTGGGGGCAGCACTTCCACATCATGGCTTTTCTGTAACCCTCATCTCCTAAGAGGACAAGTTCACACAGGGCAGAGGGGAAAAGACTCAGGCCTCTGAGGCTGAGACATGATCTCTGGCAGAAGCAGTGGTACGGAAGCACTGAGTCCAGGAGAGGATACCAGGCGTGCTTCAAGCAGGGGTGGTGATGCTTCAGGCAGGGGTGGTGATGCTTCAGGCAGGGGTGGCGATGCTTCAGGCAGGGGTGGTGATGCTTCAGGCAGGGGTGGTGATGCTTTAGGCAGGGGTGGTGAAAGAGTCCGGGAGTGACTCCTGGAAGTGAGTGTCTCCTCTCTGCTCTGGACCAGTTTCCCAAAAGAAGAAAGCCAGCCTAATACTTGGTATATGCTCTTACAGGAAAGCATGTTGTCATCTCTATAATGAACAGCAACAGGAATAGAACACCCTTAACAAAAATTAGCTTTCCTGCCTAATTTGCTCAAACATATCTACAATAAAAGTTTGAAATACAGCATGTAAAAATGTAAGTGTGTGTATGCCTCTCCCAGAGGAGGATGTCAATCTCAGACTTTCTCAGGGAAGGCTTACAAGTTAAGACCAATGAAGCCAGATCACTCACCTCACCGTAGAATCTGAAGAGCCGGTTACAATGACACGCTCATCATACTGCAGACAGAGGACAGAGCCTGTGTGTCCCGTTAACACTTTCAAACATTCCAGGCTGGTTTTATCCCAAATCTATTGAGACAAGATTAGCCACAAACGATGATTTATTATACTATATTTTGATGAATGTTACTGTCCCACTTTATGTTCTGATTATAAAATAAAACACACTTGGGTTATAGTAAGTAAGAAACACTGAATATCAAACAGGTAAGAAATGACAAGTAGGAATACAGACAATAGTGATTAACTACAAGGATAGATGTGCTATTTTGCTTAATTTGAACCCTTAGCTATTGATCTTATTACACTTATCAACAGCCTCATAAAGGGGACTTTTTAAAAATAAAATCTGTGAAAAGAATTCGCTCACTGGCTGGGTGTTGTGGTTCATGCCTATAATCCCAACATTTTGGGAGGCAGAGACAGAAGGATCGCTTGAGCCCAGAAGTTCAAGACCAGCCTGGGCAACATAGCAAGTCAATCTCCATAAATGTGTGTGTGTATGTGTGTGTGCGTATTTTTTTTTTTTTAATTAGCCAGGCGTGGTGGTGTGTGTCCCTGTAGTCCCAGCTACTCAGGAGGCTGAAGTGACAGAATTGCTTGAGCCCAGAAGGCAAGGCTTCAGTGAGCTATGATCACACCACTGTATGCCGGCCTGGGTGACAAAGCAGAACCCTGCTTTGTCATTTTATTTTTATGTCTCGTAAAAATAAATTAATTAATAAAAAAAGAACTGGCTCACTCTCTGGAAAGCAACATGACAACATTTAATTATTAAGACCTTTTACAAATGCATACCCCTACATTTACAAAAATAAAAAGTGGAAAATGAAACGTCCATCATTTCATAAAAGTCTCAAAGTAAACTATGAAAAGTGTTTAATGAGAAAAGATCATGCTTTATTACAAAGTTAAGCATTTTTTAAAAATCAGAATAAAAATTATCTATAAAGTGACACAATGACTGTATTTTAGAAAAGGAAAAAAGGATTAAAGGAGGTAAAATGTTGTCAACAGTTGTTTTCATGCTCTGAGTGTTCCTCTTCTCGCTTCTTTTACTGCCTCCATAGATTTGTCTTTTCCAGAATGTCACAGAGTTGGAATCATACAGTATGAAGCCTTTTTACATTGGCTTCTTTCACACAGTAATACATACTGAAGGTTCCTCCCTGTCTTTTCATGGCTTGATATACATTCCTTTTTCGTGCTGAAGATTATCCCATTGTCTAGATATACTACAGTTTATTTATCCATTCACCTACTGAAGGACACCCTGGTTGCTTCCAAGTCTGGGCAATCATCAGTAAAGCTGCCATAAACATCTGGGTGCAGGTTTTTGTGTAGATGTAAGTTTTTGACTCAGTTGTGTAAATACTAAGTAGCAACACTGCTGGATCATATGGTAGAAGTATGTTTAGTTTTGTAAGAACTGCCAAACTGCCTTCTGAAGTGGCTGTACCATTTTCTGTTTCCACCAGCAATGAATGAAAGTTCCTGTTCCTATTGCTCCACATTCTTGCCAGCATTGGGTGTTGTCAGTGTTCTGGATTTTGGCCATGCTAACAGGTGTGTAGTAGTGTCTCACTGTTATAATTCACATTTCCCTGATGACTTACAATGTGGAACATCTTTTCACATGCTTATATGCCATCTGTATATTGGTGAGATGTCTGTTAAGGTCTATGTCTTATTTCTAAAAATCAGGTTAATCTAATTGTTTATTTTCTTACTGCTGAGATTCAAGAGTTCTTTGTATGTCTTTTGCATATATTTTCTCTAGTCTGTGGCTTGTTTTCTCATTCTCTAGACAACGTCTCTCACAGAAATTTTTAATTTTAACAAAGTCCAGCTTATTAATTCTTTATTTCATGGGTCATGCCTTTGGTATTATATCTAAAAAGTCATCAACAAACTCAAGATCATCTAGATTTTCTCCTATGTTATACTCTACGAATTTTATGGTTTTGTGTTTTACAATTAGGTCTTTAATCCATTTTGAGTTAATTTTTGTGAAGTACATAGGATCTGTGTTTAGATTGTTTAGGGGTAAGGGAGGCAATATGGTATCTAATTGCTTCTGCCCCATTTGTTGGAGACAATCTTTTCTCCACTGTATTGTCTTTGCTCCTTTGCAAAAGATCAGCTGACTATATTTATGAAGGTATATATTTCTGGGCTCTCTATTCTGTTCCATGGATCTAGTTGTCCATTCTGTTGCCAGCACCACACTATTGTGATTACTGCAGTTTTACAGTAATTCTTGAAGTACGGTAGTGTTAGTCCTCTGTCTTTATTCTACTTCAATATCATGCTGGTTTTTGCTTCTCCATATAAACATTACAGTCAGCTGGTAGATATCCACAAAATAACTTGCTGGGATTTTGACTGAGACTGCATTGAACCTATAGACCAATTTGGGAAGAAATGACTGACATCCTCACAATAGTCTTCCCACTCATGAGCATGAAATGTCTCTCCCCATTTATTTAGTTCTTTGATTTCTTTAATCAGTCTTACAGTTTTCTTCACATAGATCTTATACATATTTTGTTAGATTTATACCTAAGTATTCCATTTTGGTGGGGGGATGCTAATATAAATGTTATTGTGTTTTTTGAGATGGAGTCTCACTCTGTTACCCAGGCTGGAAGTGCAATGGCGCGATCTCGGCTCACTGAAACCTCCACCTCCCAGGTTCAAGCGATTCTCCTGCCTCAGCCTCCTGAGTAGCAAGACTACAGGCGCCCACCACCATGCCTGGCTAATTTTTGTATTTTTAGAAGAGATGGGGCTTTGCCATGTTGGCCAGGCTGGTCACGAACTCCTGACCGCAGATGATCCACCCACCTCGGCCTCCCTGAAGTGCTGGGATTACAGGCGTAAGCTACTGCGCCCAGCCATGTTACTGTGTTTTTAATTTCACATTCCACTTGTTCATTGCTGGTATATGGGTAAGCAAATGACTTACGTATATTAATCTTGTATCTGGCAAACCTGTTATAATCATTTATTAGTTCTAGGAGATTTTTTTTGTTGATGCTTTCATTTTTTTCCACAATCATGTCATCTACAAGCAAAGACAGTTCTAATGCTTCCTTCTCAATTTGTATACCTTTTATTTCCTCTTGACTTATTGTGTAATCTAGGAGTTCTAATACAATGTTGAAAAGTAGTGGTGAGTGGGGACACCTTTGTCTTATTCCTGATCTTAGTGGGAAAGTTTCATATTTCTCAGCACTGTGTATGAATGTTAGCTATAGGCTTTTTGTAGATACTCTTTATCAAGTTGAGGAAGTTCCCCTCTATTCATAGTTTACTAAGGGTTTTTATCATTAAAGAGTGTTCAATTTTGTCAAACGCCTTTTCTGCATATATTGACGTGATTTTCTTCTTTGGCTTATTGATATGACGGATTACATTAATTAAGTTCTGAAGGTTAAACATGAAGATATTGGTCTGTGGTTTTCTTAGAATGTCTTTATCTAGTTTAGTACTAAGGTAAGGATGGCCTCATAGAATGAGTGACGAAATATCCTCTCTTCTTCTATCTTCTGGAAGAGATTGTAGAGAACTGATGTAATTTCTTACTTAAATGTTTGACAGAATTCACCAGTAACCCATCTGGGCCTAGTGCTTTCTGTTTTGGAAGGTAATTAATTATCGACTCAATTTCTTCAACAGATAAAGGCCTATTCAGATTATCTATTTGTTTTTATGTCAATTTTGGCAGATTGTGTCTTTCAGGGAATGAATTCATTTCATATAAATTATCAAATTTGTAGATATATTATTTTATTATTTATTTAATGCTCATGAGACCTATAGTGATGTCTCCTCTCTCTTTCATTTCAATCTTAGGAATTTAAGTCCTCTTTTTTCCTATGTTAGCATAGCTAGGAGCTTATCAATTTTACTCATCTTTTCAAAGACACATCTTTTGGTTTCCTTAATTTTTTCTATTGACTTCCTGTTATCAATTTCACTGATCTCTGCCCTAATTTTCATTAACTCTTTTATTCTGCTTACTATGGATTTAAACTGTTCTTTTTCTAGTTTCCTAAGGCGGAAGCTTAGATGACTGATTTTAGTCTGTCTTCTTTTCTAATATATGTACTCAAAACTATAAAATTCTAAGCTTTCACGGCATCCCACAGATTTTGATAACTTGGGTTTTCATTTTCATTTAGTTATACCCACCCACACATGCACACATGTGCACACACACAGGGAAGGAGCAGAGAAAGTCTCACACTGTCACTCAGGCTGAAATACAGTGACACAATCACAGCTTATTACAGCCTTTGACCTCCCGGGTTCAGGTGATCCTCCCACCTCAGCCTCTTGAGTAGCTGGGACTACAGATGCATGCCACAATGCCCAGCTAATGTTTTTTAATTTTTTTGTAGAGACAGGGTCTCCCTATGTTGCCCAGGCTCGTCTCAAACTTCTGGGCTCAAGCAATCCTCCCACCTCAGCCTCCCAAAGTGTAGGGATTACAGACGTGAATCACTGTGCCCAGCCTCAAAATATTTTTAAAATTTCTCTTGAGATTTCTTCTTTGATCCATGTGTTATTTAGAATTATGTTACTTAATCTTAAAGTATTTAGGAATTTTTCCAGCTTCTTTTTGTTACTGATTTCTAGTTTATATCCACTTGTGGTATGATCGGACATTGTATTAATTTCTAGCCTTTCATTTTTTTACTGATTTTTTAAACTTATTTTTTATTTTTCCATAAGCTATTGTACAGGTAGTATTTGGTTACCTAAGTTCTTTAGTGGTGATTTGTGAGATTCTGCTGCACCCATCACCCAAGCAGTATATACTGCACCATATTTGTCGTCTTCTATCCCTCGCCCCCCTCCCACTTGTCCCCCCAAGTCCCCCAAGTCCAATGCATCATTCTTAGGCCTTTGCGTCCTCATAGCTTAGCTCCCACATAACAGTGAGAACAAGATGATGTTTGGTTTTCCATTCCTGAGTTACTTCACTTAGAATAACAGTCTCCAATCTCATCCAAGTTACCGCGAATGCTGTTAATTCATTCCTTTATATGGCTTCATAGTAT